AAAATAAAAGATAATGTATATTTCAGATGTGCGAACTCTTTTTATCGTTCTTGGTGTTAGCGTTCCACTTTGTATCCTAATGGTCGCTTTAATAATCGTATGCATTTACCATCACAAAAATTCCAATCTTACAAGAGTGTAAGTATCAAAATAAAGTACCTTAATCTAAATTAGTAAATTTGTAGCTGAAAGTATTCTGTTCTGACTTTAAGAGATAATCTAGCTTTTTGTTGTATGAATATAGGGTAGATGAAGGCAGATATTCAACCTTCATATTATTTAAAATCAAAGGTTCTCATAAAGTAAACTAGTTTATGTATCTGTAGTAAACACACTATTTACATTTTTTTAAATAAATGCTTAAAATATTTTTTTAATTAAAAAGGGGAAATAATAAGGAAAATCTATTTCTTAATATTCTCTACAGAATTGATATCATGGAGACAAATTTGAAAATGAAGGAATACAAAAACCTTCCTTGTCCTCACGAAGAAAAGAAAGGGATTGAAAAGGATTTCGTAAGACGTAAGTGATTTTTCACAACAACAAAAAATGAAAATTAGGACAATTATCATGTACTGTTTGGATAAAACATGGCCTTGAAAAACGTCATGGAATGTATAAGCATAGAAAATTATTTTTTTTTAAGCTCATTAATTCATAAGACTCACTTCTGTAAAAAAAAAAAGGTTTACTTCCATACTTCCATATTTTATTCTTTTATAAAATCAAGCTACATGGACAGAGAAATCATTTTATTGTGTCATAGACGTAATACTATCTAAATCCATGAATTAACAACAATAACACGGCTTGTGGGTTCTATTTCTGTTTCAATTATTTAGTAATATAAATGATTACAACAACAAGGTGACCGAATAGACAGATATAAAGTTGTCCTCGTTACCTTTTTGAGACCTTTTGAGAAAGAGATTAATTATTCCATACTCCTGACTTTCTTAGGATGGAGTGAGTTAGTAAGGATATTTGGCGCCAAGCATGCGCATTTGGTTCCAAACTAGTAAAACCACTCACACACTTCTCACACTAAAATATCCAACAATCATACACCTTCAAGCCTCACCCATTCTGACACAAACACCTTTGACCTTTCACACTCTTTAATCAACTAATTGGCAATCAACCCTCTGAATATGAATGAACGACTTCATGAATGAACTTAACATATGGTAAATTCCAGAGGACTGTAATTTACTATGGTTTATAGATGTAAATGATGGTGAAGCTAATGAGAGGATGATTAGTAGATAAGGTCACAAATCATTAATACATAAATTATATAGTAGTTAGTATAGCATTCATTTATCCACCTTCGACAATTGTTTAACTCAAATCAGTGTTACAATTTTTATACTTAAGACTTATGCTTCATGTTGAGGAATCAAATTGAAATGTGCTAACATTATCTTTAAAAATAAAACACGATATAAACAGAAACTGTTTTTTTTGGCTTGTTTTCCTTCACTATATGAAATAATTGCCTGTTACATTTTTGTGTGAAGAATATTCATAATTACATCAATATATATCATTTAAGTGATTTAAAAAAACGTAATAATCTATTTTTTTTCTTTATTTTTAACAGCTGCATGGGTTTACTAAGAGCGGGGAGCCTTGAACTGAAAACGCAAATCATCAAACAAAACCGAACACTTTATAGTTTATAGACATTTCGAGTGTAACAGAATTTTTTTTTAGTCACTTAAAATATGTTACTAAATAAAAAAAGGGAAATAATTATTTTGTGCACAAATCTGTAAATTGAACTTATCGAAGAATGTTTCATGGTAAATATTTCACTTGAAAGAGTGTTATGCAATACTTTGTTGAAAATATAAATGTCACTGTTTTATCACTACCACTATTGCTTTACCAAAAATTATTTATATATAGACGCATATAATTAAATTTCCTGTGATTTGGTTAGCTGGTTTTTCTTCTCTTTGTCTACTTTATTGCCCTTGATTAAACCCTTGCGTTGGCCCTTATTATTTATCCTGGTGTTTAAATTGATTTTGAGAACGATTAACTTCTTAAGTGAATTCAAATTTTAACTCAAGCTTTAACTACAAGGTCCTTGTAATAATGTTTCTGTAGGAAAATTATTAAATTTTCTTATGCATGAATAACTATTAATAATTCATTACAGTAATGTGCTTTTTCAATTTTTTTTTCTTATGAATGATGTTTACTCAGATAACAAAAAAAAAGAATCCACATAAGAACAAAAAACCAAACGGCACATTGTACACCTATGATTTATGTGTTAAATTTCAATTTCAAACAACTAAGTCGGCAATCACTTTTTAATGCTAGTGGTCCCTGAGTATTTCTTGGAAAATATATTAAATTTTCACACAATGGCTAGTATTTTATTCACTCATAAAATTTATCATACAACAAAACTCTTTAAACAATGAAATATTATAGGAATGGAACAGCGTTGTTTCATAACAGCAAATGATTACAGTTTGAACCATGAACTTAATTTAAGTCTGGCTTTCCTCTGTCAATTTTCTAATTATTTCCCTTTTTTACTCTAATATTACGTAAATCTTAATGGCAAGATTTCTAAATTATTTATAGCTTTATATTACCTTAATTTTCCTTATTCTAAAGGTATTTATGTAATGTCAATAATCAAATTATCAAAATATGTTGTCTTAAGTGGTTTTTGTTCATATTTTTGAGATTATTTCATGGCATTCAATTATATGAAATAACTTCAATTCATGAGCTTGAATATACATGATATTTACATAATGATGTTTAAAAATACATGTAACCTCTACTTTGTAATTGATATTGCAAGAACTGTAATTTTGTGACATTTGTAATCAGTTAAAAAAAATTAGTCCGAATTTCCCTTGGCTAACCATATATTGACTTTTGTTCTAGCATTGTTTCTTCCTATAATAAAACATTTAAATTTTAAAATTGATAGAGTGAAAACCTGGTTATATTATCCATTAAGAACAATTTTTGATTTAAAACATTATACTTGATAAAACTTCGTTTTTTTCTTATAAAACAGGGAAAACGTCATCCTTAATACAGCTAAACATACTTAAATATCATATTGAAGTATATATTACATTTGTAGGTTAATTTTTCTAATCTTAAACTATTCAAATTTTGCAGAATTTTATTACTACATGTAAGGAGCATTGGAGATAATTAAAAAACATTAACAAAATCTCCCGATATGTCGATACGGTTACTTTACAATTAAAGCCATTTTAAGCAAATAAACGAGGGTTTAAATTTTAAACTCCGAAATTTTCGAATTCTCTCGTATTTGTTATTATCGAAATATGAACACAAGGACTGGATTTCCGTACCATAGACTCTTTAAAGGGTTGCCAGCTGATTTTGTCATTTTAAATGTTATTGTTATACATACAATGTATTGATTTGAAATGCGTCTTTCAAAATTGTCAAAAAAAGTAATTGTCTTTGGGCTAGTATTTTTTTATTCTTCAGATCTAAAATGAAATAAATTTTATATTACAAAACAAAAAAACATTATATAGATGTATATACATAATGTCTATAATTGTAAACTGTGTAAATAGTCCCACTGCTTTGAAATATATGGAAATAAGGACCAGTATTTAATCTCAAAATCGCTGATGTTTTAGAGGTCCTCGTTTGTTCTGCTCCAAAGTTTGCATTGTTTGATGGTAATACTGTTCGTTATTTATCTCCATATACATATATTTCAAATACATTTTTTGTCCGTATCGAATTTTTTTAGATAATGAAACATACAGTAAAACACGGTTATAGCGAAGTCATGGGGACCTGTGAATTTAATTCGCTATATCCGTAATTCGTTATATCCGTATAACGAATTCGTATAACCATATATAGCGAATTCGCAATATGCATGTTTTCCTTCAAGTGTTACTATCAAGTATGTTAGGGAAGCAAATATTAGAAAACATACCTTCGATAACTAAGGTTTTATTATGAATTGAATTTTATATACAAATACTGAGAGAAAATAAAGTCAGTTCAATTATTCAAATTTTGAAATCTTTGAAAGTTCGTTATAAAAGATGTAAAATTCATTATATTTAACCTCAACGGGACTCAAAATCAGTTCGCTATATCCGTAAATTCGTTATATCAGAGTTCGTTATAACCGTAAAATTTTACAAAGATTTGTTAAGAATTTTGCCGGGGACCCAGAAAAACTTCGTTATATCCGTGAATTCGCTATATCCGTGTTCGTACTAAACGTGTTTTACTGTATAGAGATAGCGAACAGTATTCAAGATCAAAAGTCCATGAAACAATACAAAAGAGGAGGAGCATGATCGGAAAATAACGTGAAAATCTGTCGTCAATTCAAAGTATAAATAATAGACTAATAACCAGTATGAAAAACGTCTGTTAGCGCTTGACTTAATGATAAATTGTATTCGCTGACAATGTCATTGTATCGACCATAGAACTTATGAAACGATGACTTTAAAAGAGACTGTTGATATTTTTTCTCATCCACTTGTTTGTCAATAATTAACCACGTTTTAGAAATTGTTCATATATAGAGCATGCTCTTGAGTATCGATTCAACTGAGATATATAAACTCCGTATGCAGGTGATGAGGATCTATTGCTGCATAAGTAAGACGGGGGGGGGGGGGTAATAAATATAGGCCAAAACAATGCAGTGTATTTAGATTTTCCGTATTGCTATCTTCTTGTTTTGGATACAAGTTTATTAGTTAAGAAATATGAGCTAAAGTAATGATATGTTCTTGCTATTGAAAACGACAGTGACATAAATCAGAAGAAAAATAGTTCACATTTAGTTAATGAGAAATTAATGCACACCAACAATTTCTGTTGAACATACAGCACTTGCCAAATATTAACCCGTTTTGCGGTGCAAAAAAATTGTCTTTTTTTGACAAAAAAAGTGAGAAGGGATTTTTTTCAAACATTTGAAAATATTCATGTTGGTAATAATTGAATATTTAAAAATGACATTGAAAAAAAACAAGTACATGCACACTTAATTATCGTTTATTTTGATGAAATCAGGTTTCTTCTACAATGGTATAGACAAAGACATTGTAAGTTATATAATTTTAAAGAAATAATTTTTTACATTTAAAAAGCCGATAGCACAATGGATGACAAAAAAACTTCCTTGTCGATGATAATATTTATAAAGGATGGTGCCAGATCTTTAAATCTATTAACAGAGTTGTCCTTTCTCAAAGATACATGTAGCAACAGGTAAGGAAACACGTTAGTAAGTTTAGATAAATATTTCTATTCTTTTCCTATACAAATGCATTAATATTTGATCTTGGAGGAATGTTCTCTCTCTCTCTCTCTCTCTCTCTCTCTCTCTCTCTCTCTCTCTCTCTCTCTCTCTCTCTCTCTCCCTTGTTGTTTCTTTGCATTTGTTTCCTTTCTCAAAAAAGGTTTTACTATGAATTTATCTAGTAGAAGTAATGAAACCATTTACATTGAACATGATACCCTTTTCGTTTTGAAATGCTCACGTTATATTTATTGTTCAAATAAATGCCATATTAATAATAAAGAGCAAGAGCCATCTTTTGCATAAAATGACCCTGTACTTATATCAATTAATTAACTATCACCCTCTTTCCATTTTCATATATCAAAATAAAGTAGACACTTGGTGCTTTCATGCTCTATAATGAAATTTCGTTTTGAGAATCCAAATATTTGAAAACAGGCTTTGAGAAATTGCAATGTTCTTGAAATTTGCAGAAAATATGCGTATTTGACTACCTTCAGCAAAGAATAAAAATATGAGCACAGCCCACGATCCAAAAAATAAAACATGTTTTTTGATCTTCAGAAATAGGCCTTTCATTATGTATTGGCATATTTTGGATCAGAGGTTGTGCTCTATATGAAATATTGAAAAAGCGCTTCATCTTTAGGTCATTTTCAAAGGAATTTACAGGATATGAGGAAAATGAAGCATTTTATGACGTCATAATGCATTGACTAAGTGTGAAATTACGTCACAATTAATAGATACATGGTCACCAACAGTCCAAGTGATAAATAACGCATTTGCAACCTAAACTGAGCGGTTTTGAATTTTCAGAAATTCTTAGGGCCAAATAAAGACCAAAGTGGCTCTACCTCTTTCTAAGTGTTTTCAAAGTATCAATGATTGACAATCATATTTTAAGTAAACATAATTTTTTACTGTCACCATGAACTTTGAATAAACGCTTGCTAAAATGAATGATTTGATCGTCACAGAGGAACAATATAAGAGCCGAAATAGAACGCTAAATGTTTTCATACTGACCCCATATACGATTATTATATATATATATATATTTACATCCGCTGAATATTTTCTCCTTTATTTCTTAAGAAAACCCATAACGTTAATCACTGCATGAACTACAGTTGGCATTTCGCCTGTATAGATTTCTTGATCAGTGGCTGTTCCATCAATGAAATGTGTATAGACATTCGCATCATTAATACAATAATTAATATATTTAATCCTATTTTAAATGATTATTTAAACAGATATAAATATAAACAATAAAATGTCTTTCTTGTTTTTTATTTAAAAAATAAAATGCTTTCTTTGTTTGCTATTACTGGAATTAACGGAAGCAGCTGTTGCAGTAAGCGTAAGCGGGTTATGTAAATTTTTTCTGCAATAGCTGCGATTTTATTGTTTATATTTATATCTGTTTAAATAATCATTTAAAGTCGGATTAAAAAGATTACTTATTGTATTAATGATCCGAACGTTTTAATACGTTTCATTGATGGAACAGCCACTGATCAAGAAATCTGTACGGGCGACATGCCGACTGTAGTTCATGTAGTGATTAAAGCAATG